TTTAGGTTACCTTTGCTTTTCTGTGAGTTGAAATTATTTTCATTGAAGCCTCTTTTTGTTTGCTCTGTGTCCTTAATCACTTAGAATATCAAACCAAATTATTGTTTATGTATTTCTAAAGAATCAGGAGTTGTCTTGTAGACTTATTGGAACAGTTTCAAGTTTTGAAATCAGTGTTGAAAGTTGCTCTGCATGAATTTACAGCGACCCCAGACACACACACAAAAGTTCTCAGCCTGTCTTTATTAAGTTCCACTTAGTTTTACACAAAACCACAAATTGATTTCAATTGTTTTTGTTCATAAATGGTCATGTCTAAGTCCTGATCAGTTTTGTCACAGCTTCACTTCAGAGATCTTTTGAGAAACTGTACTTATATTTTTTTTTTAAATCATTTGTTTAAAACCTTTTAAGAATGTTTTTCATTATAAATAGTCCAACAGCTGAATGTGGTGATAACAACAATAAAGATGGAGATAATTGTCTGAATGTAAATAGTGTAAATAATGTTAACTTTTCATCCCAAAAATTCATACAGAAATTATGAAATTCTTCTGAAATAAAAGTAAGTCATACTGTAGTTAAAAATTTCTGCTTCCCTTTATCAAATGCTAACAAAAAATGTGCAGAAATAGATAGAATATATAACACGGATGAAGCAGATATGCATAAAAAGATTAAGGGAAAGAGGGACAGGAAAACACCACATGAAATACTTAATGAGTTTGAGTAAATGGATGGCGTAACATAGTTTAAGAGAAATAGCAAAAGGAAAAAATTTATTAAGAGCCACAAAGGACAGAAAATTGTGGACAGTCATGATCACCTATATCCTGAGGTGACATGCCACATGAAGAAGAATTATTGAAATCAAACTTCTGATTGGTTATGGCTGACCTATGTATAGATTTAGCGTACTTCATCTTTGAAAATGTCTTCTCACTTAAGTAGGCAAAAGATTTTAAAGCAGAATATCTTTTCATCTGAGCATCATTTGTAAAATTCATTTAACCTAGCCATTTTTGTATTATTTTGGTTCAGTGTCTCACTGGATTGCAGGTTCACCACATAGCATTGTAGATCTAATAGGAGATCCTCAATTTTTACAGTTATGTGCCCTTTACTTAAAAATGCCAAACAATAAGCTATCAATAAATCTGTCAATATCCAACTCAGTGTGTAAAAAAAAATTGCTTTTCTGCAATATTTTAAACTGAAAGTAATATTTGTTTTAATTTAGATTAATTAAACTTTAAATCGGTTAATCTTCAAATAAAGTTCCAGAAAAGTATATTTTAATTTTTTGAAAGATTTTTGAATAAAGAAAATTGTTGTGTTGCGATTTGTCAGTATTGCTGATCTTAAGGAAGCGTTTTCATTTTTAAGAATTCATTTTAAACCTTAAATATGACTCCCTTACCTTTTTGTGGAGGTACCTACTTGTAAGGTATGCTATATTTGTTTGTAAAAGTGCTCAATACCAGAGATAGTTTATGTGTAAATATAATAAGTTGACTGCTTATCATTGTAGAATTAATAGAAAGTCATCAATGATACATTAAAAGACTTTTTTCTTTTTTAAGTATTTTGTGTATAAAAATATTAAAAGAAAAATGATATCAAAATTATTTCAAAATAATAGGATATTCCATATACTCTACAGACCATATTTGAAGTTGAAGTTTGTGAATCTATTTTTCTTGTATATTTCACACATTCTTGGCATTTTCTTAAACTGAAAATCTATTTTTCTCAACCTTCTACCTAGAAAAGTTCTAATTTAAGTATTAATGTTGCTTCTTTATCTTTTTATAAGGTAAGAAAAGAAAAAGGGAAAAATTAATTAAAATCCATGAGATCTTCATTCAGAATAGAAATATTTATATGAAACCCATAACTAGTAAAGAGTTAAAATTGAACCAGCTAAAATAAAAATGACTTCACAGACACTAATGAATTTTGAAGTCATTTTAACCTACATTGTAATTGGCAATCCATATGCATCTAAAAGAAGTATGATTATCTAAGCTGCAAGATTTTTTTTTATCGGTTTTCTCTTTGAGTGTATTTAAAGCATCTCAAGCAGTTTAAATTACTTCCCCACTCTACTGTAATGTAGCTTCCCTGTGCCTTTTTTGATAAATATTTTCATGGCTATTGTTCTGATGAAGTTTCCTCTTTGGTACCTCAGTTTCATGAATTTAAGCCTAGTACTAGATTGGCAGCTAGGTCTTATCATTTTATTGCTGGAATTGCTAGATTTAACTATTCTCTTCTAATAGTTTCTTCTCTCTCACTTCTTACCTGTGAAACTCTCTTCCAGCTTCTTTTCCTGACAACTTTTCAAAAACTTTAAATGCAATGTCAATCGTCATGTCTTTGAATTCTGTCCTTTTATTGTCTTTTCTACTCAATAATGTTTTCTCAGTTTCTTTTACTCTCAGTAACCCCTTGCATCTTAATGGCTTTATTACCTTAATTGGGGTGAAATGATTAAGAGATTTGCTTCTTTAATAAAATGTTTAAAGCTCTTAAAATTTACTGAAAGATGTTATAAACAACAAAAAAAAAAGGTATATGTATATCAACATATTTTAAAGAGATAATAAAAGTGCATATGATTTGAAGCAATGTGCAAAACAAAAAATCCTTTTTAATAGTTTTAAGAAAGAATCTTTTAAATTTTTAAATATCTCTCTGTACAGTTAAAATGAAATCTCATGGTAACGTGATTTCAGATGAGATTTGCCTTGTGTACATTAGTAACATGATTTAAATTTTCAATTGGCCAGTTAAAGCTGGCATAAACAAAAGGGAAAGAGATTTTTGTTTGGATGCCTTATTTTTTCTTTTTCTTTTTTTTAAATGATACTGAATGGTTAACTGATATGTCAGCAATATGCAGTGAGATATCACACAAATATTTTTGTGATGTTTATTTTAATGCTTAAAATTACTTCTCATTAGTACTTTTGTGACAAAAAGACATTTAAAAAGCAAGATAAAAAAAAATGAACTAGATGCCATCAAAAAATAACCTATGAAAGGAAAAAAGACATTGGTACAATAGTTGATAATTACACCACCTGTAACTTTGGGATGAGTTATTATCATTCCAACAATATCTTTTCTTTTTTTACTCTTGGACTCATTCTTTTTCTTGTTTTTAGTTGCTTTATTTTTACACCACTGTTTCAGTTGATCCATTTTATAGCTTTCTTTAGCTCTACAATCAGTATGATAAGTTGGGAGCTGAATAGCTGATAATGTTATAAGTTTTGGGGCAACTGATTTAAGAATCCACATATATAAAACATGATGTATATCATATCTGTAATTTTTTATGTGTGTGTGTTTTTAATACTTTTCATGGTGCACGGATACTACACTATGATCCCTAGCAGAGGGCCAGGAAACACCACTTTGATTCTAGACAAAGCACACAGATACTCTGATCCTAGACAAAAGTGCCTAAGTGTATGTAAATAACCTCATTATTTTTTATGGGTACTATGCTAGTTTCAGTTATAAAAATAATTTTTATATTTTAGTAATGTAAATTTTTATAATTCCCTATTAAATTGAATGTTTTATATGCATTGTACATAACATCTGTCTTGATAGTAGCAGTATAAACACTTCTTGCACATATTGTTTAAGTGATTCATTTTTATAAATTTTAATCTTTATCAATTTTGACAGACTTGACATGGCAACTATATAAAATCTTAAAGCTGCATTATATTGTTCTTTCCAGTAATAGAAAAAATAGCAGGCACTCCAAAGATAACAAAATTTAGAAATTTTTTTTTTTTTTGTAGATTCTTTAACTTTTTTACTTTAATCAGCAGAATGCAAACTAAAATATAAATTCAAATGAGAAAAACCTTTTTTAATGCAATAAACAATTTTATTATAGATTCACTGAATAACTAAGTAATTTTAGTAATAATTAATTTTGCACTTGTACACAAATACCATATTTCTTAAAATATAAGGCACATTTTAAAAAAATCTTGAAAAATCACCCTACATCTTGTACTTTGATAGATATATTTTTTAATCCATTCCAAGCAAGGTGATTAGGGGCTACTTGGAGTGAAAGAAAATGACAAGATTTTGCAAGGAACTGAAAACTCAATCCTAAGCAGAAAAAAGGGATAGACCTCAATCTTTGATGAAATTATCAATAAAATCTTTTATATTTAATGTCATCATTGTTTAAAGATAAGGAAACTCAGTATAAAGCTTTACCAGATTGTTTATTTTATGCAGAATTTGATTGTCAGTTCTTTTTTAATTAGTGTATTATAAATTGGATAGTTCAATAAACTTTCTATGGATCATATACTTATCCCTGTGTTTCATACTAAAAAAAAAAGGCACACAGTTACTGTTATTAAAGCTAAAAGTTGTATGCGTATGATCTTGCCGGAACATTGTGCTACAAGATAAAAAATAATTATAGAATTTAAGAAAAGAATTTTCTTTCTCACACACTAATTTCTGGATACATTGGAAATAAATTCTCTACAGTGTTGAGCTGCTTTATAGCTGCTCCCTGAAAAGAGTAATGATTTTGCTGTACTTCTGTTTATTGAGCATGAAGCCTCCCCTCCCCCCTATTTACTAATTAGATATTCTTGCTATGGTTAAGCAAGGTATTACTTTATGACATTAAGTGAGCATAACTTGTTACCAAAGTAATGGAATATCTCATTAATAGTGTTAATAGGTTTTTAACTCATTGCTTTTTATTTTGTTTCATGCTATTACTATTTGGAAATTTTTACTTTTTAATGATTTAAAAAGCAGAATTCTTTCTTTACATGTGACAATAATTATATAGATTAAATTTGAGATTACTTTTGGAAAAAAAATGCAGTTGCAAAATTGTTGTCAATTTTTGATAGTAAAGGTAAACTAGTTACAAACATGAAACTGGTATGTCTAGTATAATATTGCAATAGTTGCACAGATCATCTACTTTATAACAAGGCTTATGGCCATATCACTTTGAAACACAGATTCTCATCTGATCACTGAAGTTAAGTAATGTTGAACCTGATCAGTACCTAGATGGGTAACTGCTCGGTGAATACCAGGTGCTCTAAGCTTGATGTAAAGGTGGTGTAATGGGTAAAGGCTCAGAATTGGAAATTGGAGAGCTGAGTTCAAATTCCAGTTGAGTTTGTTATATTCATTTATGTGAAAATACCCTTAGTAAAGGTATGAGCCCACCTATCCTCCTCCCAGCCTTGGGTTAACTAGTAAGACTTGTATCAGAATATTATTATTATCTCCAAAAACTTCTTACAATCTAAAAATGTTTTGGCTTTAAATAACCTTGAAAAGATTGATTAGCCATAAAAATACAAATCTGTTAATCAATCAACTTTATAACAACACAGAAGTTTTGAGTAAAATTAAAGCAGAAATCAAACTCTTAAATACCAAAAGTAATTTTAGTAAATTGATGTATAAAAAAAGAACCAGGGACACTGATCTAAAACAATAACAATAAAATTTCATGCGACTCATGACCTTCAGATGATTTAGATCAAACTTAATTGTCTTAATTGTCTGAAGATTGATAGTTGAACTCAGAGGTTCGGTTTTAAATTGATGTCCCTGGATGCATTCCTGGTGGTGGTTATTATTATTATTATTATTTATTATTATTGCATCTGTCTTGATTTAGTTTCCTGTTTCTGGAGTTTATAGACATTGAGCACTGTAGATTTTCGTTTAGATAAATATTTGAGTTTCTAAAGAAGTAATGGATTTTTTTATTTATTTATCCAACAGATAATTATCACTCAAATGTAATTTTTAGTGGATACCAATATTTGAGTTTCTAAAGAAGTAATGGATTTTTTATTTATTTATCCAACAGATAATTATCACTCAAATGTAATTTTTAGTGGATACCAATATTTGAGTTTCTAAAGAAGTAATGGATTTTTTATTTATTTATCCAACAGATAATTATCACTCAAATGTAATTTTTAGTGGATACCAATATTTGAGTTTCTAAAGAAGTAATGGATTTTTTATTTATTTATCCAACAGATAATTATCACTCAAATGTAATTTTTAGTGGATACCAATATTTGAGTAGATGCTGTTTATTTATTAAACAACATTGATTTATTCTTGTCTATCAGCCTGAATATTTGTGAAATCTCATCAACCGGCGCTATTCGATTCTGTCTGATTGGCAATGCACTCTATGGCTGAGTTTGTTTACAGCATGTCAGATCTAATGATGATTTCTCCTGCAAAGAGAGATGCAGGCTTGATTCATGCTGGAAAGCACATATTTTTCTTTGATAAGATTTCTCAAATATTCAGGCTGGTAGATGAAAATAAACAGAGTGTCTATTCCAATATGGATATGCAGTAAAAAATAATGTTTAGGTAAATATTTGTTTCTTTTATTTTCTTTTATGTTTATTTTTTTTTTTTTTTTATTTTTATTTTTTTTTTTTTTTAGCAGGCTTGATATTGGTAGGGTTTGTTTTGGCACTTTCCTTTCACCTATTATTTTGTTTATTATTATAAAGAAGGTAATGGATTTTTTATTTACTAATCTGACAAATTTTTATTACTTAAACCTTATTTTTAGTGGATACCTGTATTTGAGTAGACTCTTTGTTCATTTATTAAACAGTATATTTATTTATTTTTGTCTACCAGCCTGAATATTCAAGAAAACTTATTAGAAAAATATATCTACTTAAATAAGAGCTGATATGTCTATTTTGAGAGTCAAAGAAAAATCTCTATTTAAACATTGCTTGGCCATCAGTGCACACTGTAGCCGAGAGGTCAAAGTACATCTAATGACTATTTCCCTTAGGGGAACACAGTTTCAGATTCTGCTGGAGAGCACATATTTTTCTAATAAGATTTCTCAAATATTCAGGCTGGTAGATAAAAATAAATAAATATACTGTTTAGTAAATAAATGGAGCATCTACTCAAATATGAATATCCATTTGTTTTTATTATATATATATATATATATATATATATATATATATATATATATATATATATATATATATATATATATTTAAATACACCAATCTCTATCTGCAACATACCCATAGAAAACACCAACACAATGCAGCCATTTAACTTCAGAAAATGCTTAAAACTAATGAAAGCTTTAATAATAAAAAAGAAGAAATCAACAATTATGAATTATTATTATTATTATAACTATTAATTATGAACATGCCCACAATATTCTGACTCTGAGAATTAAATCATTTTTATTGCTGGAAAAAAATCTACATATACAGGCAAACAAAAATCATCCTTGATAATGTTTAATAGATTAAATGAAAGTGTTCAGATCCGAAGATCATTTGAGCAGTTCTTACACGCTCTATATCCACCCTAGATCTCTTGTATGCATGCAAGAAAAAAAAAAAAGAAAGCTTAATTACTGTGCCTTGTCTATCATCATCACTGAAACCTATATATATATATATATATATATATATATATATATATATACACTGAGGGCATGACCAAGCAGCTACAGTCTGTTTCATGCTTCAACATAAACTTCAGGCCATAAAGACTGTATTGAAGCATGACACATACAGTTGCTGCTTTGTCTTGACCTCAGTGTTCACTTTAATATTTAAATTTACAAACATTCTATCTCTGATATTGAGTGCTTTTACCCATAAATATAGCATATTTTAAAACTATATTTTTATCATATATAATCTCCAAATGAAGAGAAAGAACAGATTTAGAATCCACAGTTCTCAGGGTATTTACATTTTTTTAAAATGTGCTCAATACAAATGTAGAGCATAAGATTTTAATAAGATTTTTATTAAAAATATTTTATGTAGCAATACAGAAATCTTTATGCTTTGAGGCTTGAAATTTTTATCTCGACAGCTTTTTTACTGAACATTGCCTGATGACGAGATAAAAATTTTAAGCCTTGAAACAATAAAATTTACATATTGCTATGTAAAATATTTTTAATAAAAATATGAAAATATTATGCGCTACATATAAAATTGTGCGTGTATAATCAGATATTTTATAAGTGTGGTATTTTTTTTTGAATAAATGCAGTTTTATTACATTTATGAGTAAACAACAACTGTAACAAAGATTGATTTTTAAAAAATGTTCATTAGAGTAAATTCTGGAAGATTGTTTTTAAGGTCAGAAGTCTTTATAATTATAATTCTTGATATCAAGTAGTAGCACATTAATATATTTGTTCATATGTGAATGTCTATTCAGAATTTTGTGCAATACTTAGCATTCTTATATATATATATATATATATATATATATATATATATATATATATATAGCTTGATTATGAATTTTTCTCTTGAGATTGAATTTGATAAACAATAGAACTGTTGTTCTTATGTTAGTAAATACTGATAAATTCTATGTGCACGTATACAAAGTGTGAAGCAATTATGATATTGAAAATGTGTTTCTATTATTATTATTTTTTTTAATAATTTCTTGTTCCAATAAAATTTTTAAATGACAATAAAGTAAGATATTAGAAACTGTAAACCTATTTAAAATAATTATAGAAATTGTGGACATTTTTATAACGAGACAAAGTTGAAAAATTAATGTTGTTAAGGTTGATTTATTAGTTATCTAAGAGAGTGATTTAGTAAAGTTAGTTGCAAATGTAATATTGTGCTCTCATAATGAGTTTAGTCGATGTCAGAATTAATTTTCTTGCCTCAAATACTCATCCTTTTAATCTTCCCTATTCATAAATACAATTTAAGTTAACTTTCCTACAACAGAATGCTGCTAAACAAGAATAACACAATTTTGTGGGTAATTCGTCAAACTTTTCATCAGTTGTTTGGACTACAAAACTCTTTTTTTTCTTTTTTTGTTACCATAAGAGATTGACTATTCCATTCTTCAGTTTTCTTCAGGTATATAATCCATAAAGAAAGATTTGTGGGCTCTTTTTCTTGAAAATAGTGGTGAAAAGAAATTGTGTACATATACTGACTGGCAAATCTATTCTCAGTGACTGTTGTAACACAGGAGATTCCATATTTTTATATGTGGGGTTGGTCATCAATTTCTCCTATGCTGTGAAAAATATTTATACTAGACAGTATGCTGCTTATTTATGATTATAATCCTGAAGAAGACCAAAGAAGGGATTGGTCAGAACTTTATGGTAATAACTGAAGCAACATAAGTTATAATTCATTCTCCCTTTTACTTATTTTATAATATTGATTTTTATATTTTATTTCAAATTGTACAGAACATGCTTAAAGTATTGCTGTTATGTTTTAGGAAGAAGAAAACTTATTTCCGTCTCCCAGTGATGTTGAAGCGTCCGAGGGTGAAGAGGAGGAAGAGGAAGAGCCACCAGAATATGAGGATGTCAATGAGATGGATGAAGCCTTGAGCCTCGAGAGACAGTTGGATGACTTTCGGATGCGGTGGCAGCAGGAGCTTCTGGTCAGCCAGAACTCTGAAGAATCGTCCAATGGAGCAGCCGTCCCAGGCAGCAGTGCCGATACTAATCATGACCGAGTTCTTAGGAGTGTGGACAATATGGAGACAGTCAAAAATAAGGCAAGTGGTTAATATCATATTGCTGATGTTACTTTGATCTCGCACAAGGCAACAATAGTAGGACACTAATTGAGAGAGAGTCAAACTATCATTGGCTTGTAAAGTGAGATGACTAACAGTAAATTCTTTACAATCCTTTGTTATAGGATTTGCTGGAAGTGTAATGGATATCAGTACAAAAAGTGGAATTGGTGAGTGCTGTTCAGATTGTGGTTAAGTTGATTGCATTCACTTTCATACAAATGCTCTTGGGGAAAGGCATAAATCCATCTATCCCTTGTAGCTATGGGTTAAATAATGGCGGTAGACTAAGCTATCTAACCTTGCGTAGTAACCAGTTTAAGTGAAGGAAACCTGAATTTCCAACCAATGAGAAAGCAGTTAGAATCGACATGTATATTTCCCAAGAATGCATGGTGATTCTTAGATAATAGAAAAAAGATATATGTAGAGAGCCATGATCACATGTGTACTGAAGGGACATGGCATAAAAAAATCTTTTGTTATAAAAAAAAAAAAAAAAAATAATGGCAACATACTTTTGCATCAGTTGGGATAAAATTACTTCTCTGATCACCACTTTTGTTTATGCATATTATTTGAAAAACATAATACAACAAATGGGAGGGGGGAGAATAGACATGTAAGAAAATGATGTTACACTAATCTGTCAATATGTTTATGGAGGAATAAAATTGTAGTAAAAATGGGCACATTGAGAATGATGTTATTGGGAAACAGAGTGCAAGGAAAAATAAAAATATGTTAATACATCCAGGTCAGTAATAGCTGAACACTTAAGTAATCTTATGTATGCCTCATCCTATACCAAAGATGTGTTCTCTGTTTTGAGTAGAGTGTATTAGGAGTTCCATTTGAAAGTCCTGAAAACTATATATATTAAGTCACTGCAGCCCTCCCTCTGTAATCAAGAAAAGTGGTTTGTGGGCCTGAATCTTATTTACCTTTTATACACAACATCTTTAATATTACCCCTGTATTTTAGTAATTGTTCATGCTTTTTTTTAATTCCATGATTGAATTCTGAAGAATGAGGAACAATAACTGGTTACCTTTTTTTCTGATTTCTCTTTGTAGTAATTATATACTTTTCCTTTTTGGCACATTGTTTTCCCTATTACATTGTTTTTGTCCATTTTTACTGCAAGAATCTTTCAAGTGGAGAAGGTGATCTTTATATATTTTCTTTTTGGTCTAATGCAGTGTTTGTATGAAAGGTATGGTTTTCAAGGGAGATAATTCTTACTTGCATGTTTTTGTATTTTTTTAAAAATCTATTTTGTACAATAAAATTTTAGAGAAAATAAAGTCAGTATGCAGTTATCATTAAAATATACTTGTTTGCTATTGTCAGTTATTCAGAAGTTGCCACAAATGTATGTAGGTTGTTCTGAAAGTAATCCCTTCTACTTTACTGTTTTAGTTCTCAATGTCAGGTGACTTTTGGAGGCATGGCAGTAGAAGCTGAATCTTCCTCCCACTATCTCAATTTCTTTTTTTTCCCTGTTACAAATAGCAGTCAGTCAAAATGGCAATGGAGATGAGTGTGTGCAGAGTAAAATTGTAACAGTGAATTCCTCCATGTACTAGTAGAAGAAATTGCACTGTGCTGAATGTTTTCAGAGACTAAACACTGGATGTGAGCACAGTTACGTAGTGGGTAATGTGTTTCAGCAATGTTGACAACCATGTGTGTGACATGCCACCTTCTGAGCAGCCCTACACTGCTGTCAACAATGAAGAGCACCTTGAAAATGCATAGTCAATGGTGATGACTGGAAAAATATTTTCTAGCTGAAAACTTGTTCCATCCAATGTTATTATTGTGTTCTTTGTAGAAATAAATAAGAGGCATTACTTTTTCAGTGTCATTCCTATCTAAGTTAATGTTGCATCATTATAGATGATGTTGATATTTCCCTGTAAATGTTAAATTTAATAGAACCATGTTTCTAGATTAAAATGAAGCTTTATTAAAGATAGATAGTAAAAGAAATGATTGAAGTATTTAAGGAAAAAAAAAGCACATTTTTAACTAGGCTAAAAATTGTATATCAGTTATCATTTGATAGTGTACAAGAAGCAATGATATAAGATGCTTTCTTTACTATTTCAATATGAAATATTAAGAGAATAGCATTAATCAATAATTAGATTTTGAAGGACTTCACACACACACACACACACATATATATATACATATCCTCACTCTTGCTCCATATGTGGCTTCCTTTGCAAATCACTTGCTGGTCTTAAGTGCCTCTTAAGATTATTGCACAAAATTCATAACTGACTCAATTGGTTAATTTGTCAGATACACATATGTTGAAACCAATAGGAGAGTACATTATTATATATATATATATATATATATAATCTTATGAAATGGATTAAGTCTGTCAATTATTTAATATATTTTCTGTTTATATGTTATTTTTAATTTATTTTTATTTTTATAGATATAATTTATTCAAGTAAATGCTCTGTTTTTAATTAAACAGTATTAATTACATTTGCTGGTCTGAATGTTTGTTGAGAAATTACATAGAAAATATGTGTTCTGTGACAGGAATCGAGCCTGTATTTCTATACGGAAACCGTCATTTGACTTTACTAATGAGATGCTTCTCTGCAGCTGAATAGTACAGCATGCCAGGTCAAATTTACTTAAATAAATTATTTCTATAAAAATAACATATAAATAGAAAATATATAAATAAATCATAAAAAATATAGATTTACGGTATGCTATATTTATGGGTAAAAGTATGGGTAGTGTATGTAAATAAAAGTGGACTACTGAGATCAACACTGAGCAGCAACAGTCCATTTCATGCTTGCACACAATCTTCAGGCCATGTGTGTTATATGCTGGTCAATGGTGCAATATAGGTAGCAAAATTTATTGTATTTATTGTATTGTCCTAATGGTTATTGAGTATGTGGTAACAGTTATATTTCAGATTATTCTAGAGGCTATTGAGCAGAAATAATTGTGGATCTGACTGTGATTATTTGTAGGTATTGTATAAAGTGGACATTTAGGTCTAAATCTAGAAGTGACAGTCTGTTTCATGCTTAAATACAATCTTCAGGCCATGCCTTAAGCATGAAACAGACTTACTGCTGGGTGTTGATTTTGTCTGGGAATCATACAAGATTCTCAATTATATACTGTCTACTTCAATATTGCTAAAATACAAAAACATCGAGAGTTCCGAATAAATAAATAAATAAATAAATAATGAGTTGGATAGAAAAAAAGAAACTCTGTTTTGTTTGAATTCAACAAGGATAAAATTTTATGTACTTGGAATAACAGAATGTTTGTGCAAACAAAAAGTGAATAATATTCAAAGGAAAACTTTAAGACAAAAAAAATGATTGCATGTGAGGCAAAGTTGTTTGAAGGAAGAGTCTGTATGTGTTCTTTGAAAAGGAATATCTTTAAAAAGTGAATAATTTTCATAGGAAAACTTTCTAAGACAGGTCAAAAAAAAAAATGATTGCATGTGAGGCAAAGTTGTTTGAAGGAAGAGTCTGTATACATGTTCTTTGAAAAGGAAAGTCTGTAACTATAAATGTACATATGTCGATATGACTTAAGGGAAAAAAGGAACAAGCAAATGAACGTAATGAAAATATATACTCAGTTATGTGTGTTAGAAGTTCCTGTGTGTGGCATGAATTTTATTTCAAAGGAATTATTTTATTGGGTGAAAGATGTCATGTGGTATGCTTTCAACTATGTCTTCATTGGAAATATATGACTATTTGAATTTATTTTTGGGCAGAGTAAAGTTGAAAGATACATGCACATGAGTTTAAGTTCACCCGTACTTAAGATTCCTAGAATCTCAATGTCCATTTTTTATATTTACATATGCTCTATCCTTGATTTTGAACACTTCAACTTGTAAATATAACATATCTTGAAACTATATTTTTATCACACACACACACATATATATATATATATATATATATATATATATATATATATATCAATTATTCTATTTGGGCAGCAATCCCTTTTATGCAAGTTTCATTGAAAATGACTGACAAGGTGTTGTGGTTGAGTTTTTTTTTTTGTTTTTTTTTATTAATTTCTCATGTGTTTGTATAATTTTTATAGTTACTAAGCATTTGATTTTTGTAGAAAATGTTAATGTAATTGTTAACATTTTCTACAAAAATCAAATGCATAGTAACTATAAGCAAGACGAATCTTCACTTAGAAACATCATAAAGAAATACACAAATCCAGTTGACAAAACCAAGAAAATTAAATTATTTATTATAAAAAAATAAAAACTGCTAACCTCCTTGTCAAAAATAATAATTTACTTGCAAGATCCAAATTACAGGGTACCAATATTATTTATGAATTTACGTTTAAGGAGCTGTGTTCCTGACTAATCCAAATTTGTAAATAATTACATTGGTCATACTACAACATGTTTAACAAGAAGACTCACGTTACATCTCTCTGACAATAGTTCAATTAGGTCTCATTTAAATACACATTGAGACCTACCAAACTCTATCCATAACATACTCATGGATAATACGAATATAATAGCATCAGCCACATGTACAAAAAGGCTAAAAATAATGGAATCATTATTAATAAAAATGAAAAATCCAACATGCAATATAAACTATGAACACGGCCACAATGTGCTGACCGTGTTTGGAAAATAAAACATTCCTATAACTGTAGATACATACAGAAAACAATCTGCATATTGAATTAAAAGTAAAATAAAATTCATCCTTGATGTCGGCTAAAAGTATAGCCAAAAACACTTTGAAAGCATTCAGACAATTTTTATATAATTTATGTTCTGAAAAGAAACGGTATGAACACATGAGAAATTATTTAAAAACTCAACCACAGCACCTTGTCAGTTGTTTTCAACAAAACTTGTACATACATGTATGTATGTGTGCATGTGTTTGTACTTCTGTATGCTGTTAAATGCAGTAGTTTGCTCTTGAAGGATTTTTTTTTATTCTCCAATCAAAATTTAAGGTTTTTAAAAACAAAATTTCTATTATAGTAGTTTTGTCTATTTTGATGCATTTTATTTTTATTCATATTTTCCTTGACAGTGATTTTATTTCGTACTTATATGTTTATAACCGAAAATCTCGTTCCTATCTTTTAGGCTCAGTGGTTCTATTTAGAAGGAATTAAAGCTGAACAAAATGGGAATTTGTATGACGGTAGGTTTTTGCATTTTATTACATGAAACTTATTTAGCAAAACCCTATTTGAGGAGATTTCTTTGTAAATGGTTAGCAAAAATATTTTTGAGTGTAAAATCACTTTCTATTCATTTTAATTAAAATACAACTTTTTTTTATCATACAAATTGAAAAGATTTTTAATGCAAATATACTGGTTAATGTTTTCTAATCTACATCGATAATGACGTGCTAAAAAGTTTTTGTATAATTCCAGCTCAAAATAGTCTCCCTTAAATCCTGTAACTAAATTAATGAAAACTGATAATTATTTTATTTTACAGATCGCGACAGCTATGAGGGAGATGTGATTAAATATATTTTAATGTTTAAAAATAATTTATTCAGTATTATTATTGTTTAGGTAATAAAGATTATAACAGCACAAATAGCTATATTGTGGAAAAGGAATTTTCGACTATATACACATTTTTTATGTTTTTATGGTTATTTTTTTAACTTTTATCAAAAATGACATTTTTGTACATGTAGTTATGGATAATATTATACATTAATACTGATTTTTTTTAATTAATAACTATTTATGCTCAATTGTTGATATTAATAGCTATCTGCTAATGTGTTAAAATTTTGGAATAATGCAATAATAAAAATTTAAATTTCATCACTGATAGATGTAACAATCTCTTAATTTAATTATTTTTATAAATTAATGAAAACAATAATAATTATTTTATTAAAAAAATTGCTTCTTTATATCAATTGTAATATAATTTTTTTCTTTTCTATTTGCTCTTCATAATTTTTATATTTATATATAATATTTAAATATTATATATAAATATAAAAATTATTTTATATTAAAATATTTTATATTAAAGTTTATTCTTTTGTATATTTCAGCTGTAAGCTTTTATAGGCAAGCAGTACAGTTGGTTCCTGACATTGAGTTTCAAGTGAATTTGACTGGTCAAAAACCAAGACGTTAGTTTTCTTATCTTTCATTACTTCTGAATAAACACTTGACAAATTTGTATGAAAAAATAATCCCTTTTGATTTGCATGTTTTCTTCACTTCTTAAATAAGCATTCCATTTCTTAGATGAATTTTCATCTTGTCTTCAGCCTCATTAGATAAGCATTCCATTTCTTAGATGAATTTTCATGTTTTCTTCACTTATTCAATTTCATTTCTTATGTGAATTGAATCTAGTGTTATATTTATTGCCTATGAAATTAGGAACAAACTATTATAGATTTTCTGGTGTAACAAATAAATTCCATCTTTTTTATTACCTTTGGGATAATGATATATATTATTAGGAAGAGTTTATGTGTTCAGGTCTCAATTTTCCTACAAATAACCCAGGAAAGGGTTTTAACATAAAAAATATGTCTGTAACCATTCTGTGTAATTCCTATTATAAGATATCAATGAACTTAAACAAATAATTATAGGCAAACATGGATAAACTCTGTCGAGTCTGAAAAGTGATGACTGGTTTGCTCCTGCCTAAATATGACAAGTTCTTTATTTTAGGCCTGATCTGGCTCTTGTAAAGTTAGAGGATAGCACAAAGAGTCAGGTACTTACTAGTGTGGTACAGGGAACCAACCATTTTTCCTGCTTTTTCAACAATGGATCATATGTACAAGTTTCACTTGAGGTCAGGGGTGAGTTTAAGGCCTAGCGGTCTCTCAAGGCTCAGAGACTCCATGATGGGGTATCTATTCATCATGTCTAGTGATCAAACATCATTGTTGTGTTTTTTTTGTTTTTAATCATTTCACCTCAAGCAAGGCAATAAAGCCACTAAAATGCAACTAGTTACTGAGGAGAGAGAATAAAAGAACAGGGGTAAATAAGACAGAAGATAACGATTGACATTGCATTTAAATTTTTTGAAGACCAAAGTTGATTGTGAAGCAAGAAGTTGGAAGAGAGTTCCACATGTGAGAGAAGAAACTGTTAACAGAGAACTTAGTTAAATTGTTACTTCTCTTTTTCCTTTTAGATTTTAACCCTTTAGACCTTCCTTGATCATCTTAGACATAGGATTTATCAGATATAATCCTATTTATTTTTTTGTCATGCCCAGGAATTAGATTAATCCATAATCTTTTATATGTGCTTAAAGATTATTAGAATTTATTTAGCACAAAGCAATCTTTTGTATGTAATGTGATGGACTGTCAAACATAATTTATATTCATTATCATTAAATCTATAATTTGCAAATAAATATTTGAAGTAAAATTTCCATGTTCACACAGTCAGATCAGATTATACCACTTGATCACAATTGTTATTTTTCAGCTTGGAAAGTAATCTGTTTAATTTTTAAAAATTCAGATAGACCTGTTTTCTCTTGAATTTCTTAGATTATTATTGCTTTCATTCTAATTTTAGTTGCTTTTTATTGCATTTAAATTTTTGAAGATCAAAGTTGACTGGAAAACAAGAAGCTGGAAGTGAATTCCATGTGTGAGAAAAGAAACATAGAATTTATTTACATTGTTACTTCTCAGTTTCGTTCTGTATTTTAGACCTTGATCATCCTAAACATAGGCCTTATCAAATATAATTCCATATATTTTTTGACATGCCCAGGGATTAGATTGGAAATTAAAAAAAATAGTTTCCTCTTTATTTCCTGCCGAGTAACTGGCCAAGGTTAAGTAATTAGCAAAACAGAATTGATCAAACATTAACAAAAGGGAAAAAAAAACATCAGTAGTAAAATAATACTAAACAAATTATATTATATATGCAAGACAAAAGTAGACAAAGCAACAGTAATAATGCAAAAAGTTAACATAGAAAGAATGGTGTTCACATGCAAAAGGGGTACAGATTTTTAGCATTCTGACTTAAAACAAAAATATGGAGGAGTGTTTCATTTTTATTGGTTATGAAGAATTCCCAGTATGCATCTGTATGATTTTCCTATAAATTTGGTGAGTGGATGTTTTTAGCAACCAACATTTCCAATCTGCTGTGTATCAATGGCTGAAGATTATTGTAATAAAAAGCAACTGAAATGAAAGAAGCAAGGACTGAAAATTAAATAAATAGCAAATAGACCTCACCTGAATGTGTAATTCGTAATGTATTAATAATAAATCTTTTTTAAATTGTAGAAAGGCAAGTGAGTGAAACATCTGTTGGCAGCAAGTGAGTACATTCAACTTGAGCTCTTTTTAGTTTTTATAGACTTGTAAAAGTAATTCTGGTACATTAAACCTCTGTGATTGATCAATATTTTTACTATTTTTTTGGTAAGTTTGCATTAAGCAGAATCAATTTTTCATCATGATAGCTAAATACTTGACAGGAAATTGGTATTTATGCAACTTAGTACAAGGGCATAAATCTAGGTCACACAATGAGGATTGATTTCTGTTCAGTTGTAATGTCTTTTTGTAAGACCAGCTTGCTAACCATTTTTCTTTGATATAGCTCTTGTAATTCTAGATTTATATTCCAGGTTTATATTCATTTATTAACAAAAATGGACTTTTATAACTAGTATAGTTGTAAAAATAATTTAAACTAGTTTTAGCTTATTTGATTTAACAAATGGTTTGTTAGATTCTTTTTTACTGTTAACAAATTAGATAAAGTTATTTAAGAGTTATCTCCCCTAATTACAAAACTGGTCAGATTAAGCGGATGCTATTGCATACGTTTTGTTTGTGTTATGAATTTCAAATCTTTCTCTAATTTAGAATTGAAATTCGTTTCTATCACTAGTCTTTTCTAATATCTTGAATTTCTTAGATGAAGCATCATCAACTTTTATTAACTAGCATAGTGCCCATCAAAAATGGGTTATTCATGGGTCACTTCTTTTTACCTAAGTGTTATCTATGTGCTTTGTCTCAGTCTAAATTGTTGCTTTCTAGTGCTCCACCTCTACCTAGGATCAGTGTAGTATCTGTGTACTCTGCTTAGTGTTTATAAGTTAATTTTACTATTCTGCTGAAGCACAGAATGCTTCAGGTAAATTTTTGCCTTAAATTTTGGGATATAAAGAAACTACATCACTGTTCAGTCTGCCACCATTTGTAATCATGTCTAAATAAGTGTATATTTATATTGATAATAGTTCTTTAAGAGGCAAATATTACACAAGGTCTTTGTTTGAACCATTTAAAAATTTTTCTCACCACAATTCTGGTGTGAAAGGTAAACCACTTTTCTGCTTATCTTCTGCATGGATGTTTAAATATGAACAGGATTCACTTGTTAATTTTGTATAGGCCACCATATCATAAAATTTTGGTATCAGGCCAACACTGTGAGCAAATTAAAAACATTCCAGGCCATATCCCAACCCACAATCCTGAAATTTTGAATTCCCAAGTTTTCATTATTGTGATTGTTTTCGGAGATTTTTTTTTTACATGAACTTTTTCCAACAAATATTTTTTTTGTGCAATAACAATTTTTATAACTTGGAAATAAATTTGGGAATAATATAAATTAATTGCAAAATCCAGCAAAAGTCACCCATGAAATAAAAATAATTGTTTGTACAGAAAGTAAGGAGTTACGTAGATCAAATTGTCTTTAAGTGGTGGCAGAAGAATTATTATTGAACTTTTAAAAGTAAGCTTAAATATTAATGCAATACTTAAATGCGGCGATCAATTATCAATTCTTCTGTAGTTTATTGTTGCCTCTAACATCTACTCCTCCCTATCCATTGTGATGAAGGCCCAATCAAGAGCCCTCCATAGAAGCTAACTTAAATGCCACACAATAGGGCAGCTTTTAAGCTAGTGCACACACATATATGAATATATATATATATATATATATATATATATATATATATATATATATATATATATATATATATATATATATATATTTAGTTTATGCAAACTTCGGTAATCCGTATGGGTAGACCCGAGGAGGATGATATCCAGAGAGCTCAATGTAAAATTCAGAGCAGATATGTTTGAATAAAAGACAGACCACGTTAAGATTCCATGTAATAAGCTATTTCACCATAACCCCTTTAACAGGGTTCTGGATCATCAGACTTTACTTCCAAAAGCTGAAATGAAAAATGAAAAGAAATTCACATGTTTTTGACAAACCTCATCAAGTATATGTAAAATTAACGAAGTGAGGAAGTGAGGTGGGAGAGAGGATATGAGTGTGTCATATGTATCATTTCAATTTCCTATTTTTAACCCCAGTGTGTCGGCTAGATGTTGCTCAAATTTAACGCGTCTCGTCTCTAGATATAAGACCGACGTCAAAGGAAGAAGCTACAACAACCCCAATCAATTACACGACAGGTTTCATTACTGTGTGGATACTGAGGTCAAAACCAAATGGTGACAGTCTTTTTCCTGCTTGAACACAATCTTCAGGCTATGTATGTTGAAGATGGTGTCCACTTTTATGTTTACATATACTCTATCATATAGAACACTTTCACCCATAAATATAGCATACCTTAAAAGTATATTTTTATCACACACACATACACACATATATATATATATATATATATATATATATATCCTTTTTGTTTGTTGCACTGATTAAAAGATGTTAAAGCGAGAAAATGTGATAGTGTTAGGAAATTATTAGTAGCTGTTATGGAATCAACTGTTCCTACTTGTAATTATTTGCATGTCTACTGTTAGCATTTATCTGCATTGAGTTGACTGTGCATTTTCATTGTGTTGCAGTACGTCAGTAGAAGACCTTGAAGAAAGTCTGCAGAACCAACTGAATCAATTGCAGGCTTCGCAGAACACCATTTGTCAAGCTGCAACTGAACAGAGGGTAAGGCTTTGTTTTAACTTCTTGGTGTTTCTAAGTTGGTCACACTTAGTCTGGGTCCACGTCTTCAACCTTGCTCCAGAGACCCCAACAGTGAAAACAGTATTGACGATTACAACAGATGTCAATGGTTGAATTGGCAAATGAAGAGGGCTACACATGATGGACATGCTACAGAAGGCACCACTCGACATTATAACAAAGTCAGCAGCAGTCTGTTGCAGTTTCATAACAGGATTCTGCATGTCTCATACCATATGTACCACAGAGGAAGGTCATGAAAACAAAGTCACTTCCTGGCAAGATCCACCTTAAACAAATTCATGTCCTCAGCATTTCTCTTCTACTTTGATTTTCTTACACCTCTAATCAACTCTTGCAAAGCCAAACAATGACAGGGAATGGATAATGGGAGCAGGTTTTGGGGAAATGGGAAGCTTCTAGTCCTGAACTTGCATATGTTGGTGGCAACTTTAGTTATCAATGCCATTATCATAAAGGAAGGATCAGTAAAGAAGAAATTAAATTCTTGTATACGAGGCAAAGCTAGTGATGATGATGACATTTCTAAGTTTCAGATGTCTGCTTACATGCTTGTACTAATATTGTGTAAAAAGCAAGTTCAACAAATTCCATTGTGGACTAAATTGATTCTTTTAACCCATTGAAAATTTTTAAGTCCAACCTCAAATTACACAATTCTATATCAAAAACTATTACAGTTTTACTATTAATATTTAAAGGATATTGAAAACTCCCAATGCAGGGTGACCCCATATGAATAGATACAAAAGGAAATATTTATTTCTATGCTAGTCCTGGTATAGAAATAAATACAATATGGTAGTTGTTAAGAAATGACAGCAAGGCTTTTGCTGCAGCAGCGATAGAAAAAGAGAACCCTCAGTGAGTGCAGTCAAGTTTGACCAGGAGCAACAACAGCACTCATCAGCTGACAGGTTAGGTTTAAGCCTCAAAGTTCTTCACTCATTCATTCAGGATTGTCCCATGGGACAATAGCCTTGTGTTATAAAACATTGATTTATGAATGACAGTAATTGTGTGTTCAATCACTGGGTCAGGCAGTATGTATTTGAACTTTGTAGAAATGGGGTAAACAATAACTGAGTATTACTAAATAAGAACTAGAAGACATGGTCAGCAGATTAAGAACAATCTATTGCAGTAGATTAAATAAAGGGTTCAATTTGAAATTTCCTGAAGGTAACCAGGATCGACAAGCACTTGATGAAGGTCAAAGGGCACAATGACCGAAACGTTGTGATAATAACAGCAAAGATGTTGTTTATATTTTTGCAACATGTAAATAAAAATATTTTTTCTATATACTTTTTGGACTCTAATCATTATACTTTTGTTTTGAGAGTTTGAGTTGGTTCAACTCTTAATTGTTAAGTAAAGCCTCTAACCAAAAGGTTTATTGAAGATAACCTTTTAGATTTTATTTATCAAATCTCCTGTTTGCAATGTTCTGCATTTTATACTTAAAGATTTTGATAATCCATTTGGAGGTATATGTCCTCAACAATAGATATCCAGACAGTGCAATCTTGGGGTTTTCTTACAAATGGCTTGAATTGTATCCCAGCTTTCTCGAGTCTGTTTTAAAATCCTGATGTCAGAACGTTTTTCAGACACTTTTATGTTGTGGCTTATAGATTAGTCTGCTTTGTGCTGTATGTGTTTCTTCCAACAACTGGGTTGTCTTGTTTTCCTTTCTCTCTCTTTCAGAAGCGATATTTTTTTACAGAGTGGGGGTACTAGTTACAAACTTGACCATTCTCTTTTTACATCTGGATTTGGAACCAAAATTAGTTAAAACACTAGTATCTAAATACTAATTTATACTCTGCTCCTATTAATTCTTGGTTTCATTGAAAACTTTTTCCTTCCATAGTCATTAATTTTATTATTCTACTGAATTTAAAACAAAAAACAAATTCATGGATTCTGGTTTAGGAAAAACAAACAAAAAACAGAAACAAGTCTATTTACTCATTGTTCATGATTTTAGTTTCACTTTGTGAACTAAACTAAAATTCATTTCAGGGCACCCACATCTCTTCATTGCCTGTGGAAGTTGTGATGTATATTTTTAAGTGGGTTGTATCCACTGAACTTGACACAAGATCATTAGAGCAGCTGTCACAGGTAAGTGCTTCCCCTTCTATAAAACTGAATGGTTGCTTCCCAACTATATCTCATCTTTTGCATGTTCTGTCATATTGTACAGAAGTGCAAGTTTTCAGGGGGTTTTTGTGTTTGAGAATTTTTCACTGTAGAGTGAGTGCCCATGTTTAGATTTAAATAAATGGTAGAATTGCCCAACAAACAAAATTGACAAAGTTTGCAATAAACAACAACAAGAAAAATAGAAGAACAGGGCAAAAGAAATAATATAAAGCAAGCAAACAATATACACAAGGCAAATTAACAGTAATAAGGCAAAGCAACAGTAATTTGGCAAAATGTTCACAAACTAAGAATTGGGGTTGACACGCAAGATGTTTGGATAAGCGAATGTAGCGTTCCGACTTCAAGACAAGACAGACCAGCACTGAGTCAGATGAAACCAAGAACCAGACTATTTTATTGGCTAGGAAGAAATTCCAGTAAGTATTTATGTGCTTCTGCTTGTAAATTGGGGAGGGGAAAGTATTTTACAATCATTCCTAGTCAGTTTGGAACCAACATTCACTTTGGGGTAAATATTGCTGTGACTGACCCTTAGTCCATAACATGAGCAAGAAAGTTTTTGTTAGCAAGAATCCTAATGTCTGTAAAGTTTCAAAGTTTGAACTGACCCTAAGCAGTCTTTGAACTGACCCTTATCTGTCTTTTAAAATTACTTTAAATGGGATTCACTTTGTTTAGATTACTTGCCAGTCTTTCTGTATTATTTTCAAATTCTGAAGCAGAATTAATAATTCTATCCAGATGTTGGGTTAGTGTAACTCATGATTACAACATAAGCATTATGAAATAAAACACATATTCTGAATTTTAAATGGAATAAAACCAATTTTGGTTGCAGACTTGACTTTGTCTTTGTGGAGATTAGAATATTTCTATATTTGTTTCATTTTTTTTTTTGTTTAAGATAACAAAAGTACAGGCTTGTTTGCTATTATTTATTAGAAGTGTTTAGTGATTGAGGGTTTCTATAGGTGTTAATTTGCTAAAATTCATTGAGATGTGTTAAATGATTAAATTTGATTAATGTGATTATCAATTCTGAATTGATTAAACTCCAGTGTCGTCGTAGTAACAGTAACAAAAGTAATAGTAGTAGTAATAGTATTAGTAGTAGTAGTAATAATAAAAAAAATAGCTGATACCAAGGGAGAAAACTCTTGATAATTACTTCCCTTTTATAAAATTAGAGAGCTTGTAGTGGAGCAAGCCATTTGTTATGAGTTTGACTGTCAACAGGTGTTCTTGAAATGTATCTTTATGTAACCCAATATTCAGAAGAAAGACGGTGTTGTTCAGACTGCAAATATTTGGGAAAACTACCACTAGAGATGATGCTAGAGTTACCAATGTCTATGTTGGTTGGACAATGTTGAAATAATTTCATTGTCTGGGGGGGGGGGGGTAATGTGGTTGTCAACCATGTAGGCATCTGCTTTTCCCTCCACTTTTTTTTATTGTCTCTTTGCTACTAGCTGTCATATATATGTAGAGATAATCTAATTTCATCTCATTAATTTCTCTTAAGGGAAGGCATTGGGGAGTAATAATGGTTACTGGCTTGGATTAAGGAATCAGAAAGCAGAGTTTGAATTCCATTCAAGTTCATTACATTTCACCTTTGGGAAAAGTATGAATCCATCTCTTCTCCTCCCAGCTATGGGTAAAATAACCAGACAGACTGGATCCTATAGCCTTGGGTGGCAACCATTCTAGGAGAAGGAAACTCTGAATTCAAACCAGATGGTAGTATCCTAAAAGTGTGTATACATGTGTCTAGGGACTACTTGTGAATCCAGATTCCCACTGAAATGCCTACTATTTGCATTTATGAATGAATATGACATCTGCCACATTTGGTTAGCTTTTGTTTGGATGTGGCTTCAAAAGGAGCCCTAAAAACTAACAAGTTTCTCTTTATTGGGTTAAATGTCAATATCCATTAGAACTACATTTATGAGAAACATTCTGTTTAGCACAAACTGAATCTTTATTTATTAGATTACCTATTTTATTCCATGTGAATCGCATTTCTTTTGTACACAAATGTATTGCTTTCTTTGAATGATTTTGCTTTATTTTGTGTTGAAATTTGTTCAAAATTTTGTTTTTCGCATAACTTGAAGCATTTAAGGTATTTTTGACTAGTTTTCCTTTCTCCTAATTAAATGTTGGAAAAAGATGGATAAATAATTTACTTACATATCAATTTACAATCACACTTGTTCATTTTTTTTTTTTTAACTAGTATTTCTTTCATTTAATTTATTGGTTTTTATCGACAGTCAGTAATAGATCAGAAAATAAGTACTACTTGTTAATAATAATTAACATTGTTTTATATGATAAAAATGAATATCTTTGGATGTTGTATAATATGCCTTCTTTTTTTTTTTTTCTTTCCATTCAAGGTGTGCCGTGGCTTTTATTTGTGTGCTCGCGATGAAGAGCTATGGAAGCTTGTCTGCACCAAGTCAGTATTCTGTCATTTTGTTTGATTTGCATCAATGAATGAAATATAAAAAGAAAATGGATATTAAAAGAATTAGATCTAATTTCTTTTTAATAAATGTTATTTTCAGCATATTTTTTCTCCATATAATATTTTTGCAAAAGTCAATCAAATTAGCCACCAATAAGATTTTCATTGAACAATGGTAACTGTGAAATCAGCTGTTTCCATACAAAAAAATAGTCGTCATTCATTGACCGAAAAATTGGTGTATAATTGACTGAAATTGATGAAATTTTTTTCTTAAAACAGTTTTTTCATGAAAATACATTTCTCAAGTCAACCATTATTACTCTTTCTAATATTAATAGGAGTTTCCTTCCATCTTTTGTTTTGGTAGTGTAGATTATATCATTATTTTATAGAGTCCTCCCCATTTTTGTTTTTAGTTCTGTTGGAAGTATTCAAGTGATGTGGTTTTTGTTATTTGCTAAAGCTCTTTTGATTTTGTAGCCACCTGTCTGATGAAGAATCATCATCTTTAAGATTTATTCATTTGAAGCCATTTTTAACTATTGATCTGAGAAAACCACATGTTTATTCACAAAAAAGATGTGCAACAAGTTGACTTTTCTAAAATCAAATTAGCCACTTTTACAAAATGAGAAGTATTATACATATAAACATCCCTATCTTGTTTGTTGTACTTGAATTAATTCTTAACCATTTGATAATCTCTATTTTCCTTATTTTTAATACATAGTAAAATCACCCACAGTGCATTTCCAGAGAAAAATCACCCATAATACATTTACCTTATACATAGATTTGCTCTATTTTGTTAGTAATGTTTGCACTTTTGTTACTGATTTTTCTATGTGTAACAGCATGAGTATTGAAATTTGCTAAAACAAATTTTAAATCAAAAATTGTAAAATCCAAATTTTTATTGTCAAATGTTTTCCTTGCCACCCAAAATATTTTGTTTTAGTTGCAGGTAGGGGAGGCTTATTGAGCTAGGATGAGTAGTGTTAAAGTCAGTTGATAACATGAGAGATCTTGCTAAAGAGCTAGAAAAATGATCAGCTCACTATATCACTTCAGAAAATATCTGACATTTAGCATGTTTTATCATTGCAAGAATCAGATAAGACCAAAATTGAAGGATTACTGCTACATACATATACATACATATATATATATATATATATATATATATATATATATATATATATATATATATATATATATGTATATATATATATATATAAATCAGAATATAAATCAGAAATAAAATAGATAAAAAGAAAGAAACACTGGTATTTTCAATTATGTTTGGATCAGTTCTTATTGGTCTGACATGTGTCACCCAAACATAATTTAAAATACCAGTGTTTCTTTCTTTTTGTCTGTTTTCTCTCAATCTCTGACAAAACTTTAATAAAAGTGAAACATGTTAGTGATATACATTTCCTATTTGTTCTTTATTTTTTCACATATATATATATATTGAAGTCAACACCCAAAGACAACAGTCTGTTTCATGCTAAATGCAATCCTCAGGCCATCGATTGTGTTTAGCATGAAACATCCTGTCGCCTTTTGGTTTTGACTTCAATGTCCACTTTTATATTTACATATGCTCCATTTCTGATATTGAGCAATTTAACCCATAAAAATAGCATGGCATAAAACTATATTTTATCATATGTTGTGGAGGATAATTTAGTTTTCACTCTGCAGCTTCTTTTCCACAAATACAAATGTGGCAAACCAATCACTATTCTATCACTATTTCTTTAGCAAATGTTCAGAAAATCTGTATTCTTTAGTTCCACAATTGCAAGCCTTTACTGCTGCCATGTCACTTCCACAGAGTCAAATCATCCTTATTTCCACCATCTTCCAAATATAAGAAAGAAGTTCTGTTGAAACAGTTTTTTTCCCCAAGAACTGCCATTTTGTGGGACAGACTCCTGTATCATTGCTTCCTTTAATATAATCTTTATTTTAATCTTGACAAAGATCAATTGTTATCTATCCTCCTTATCCTCACTTCTTACCACTTTCTCTTCCACACATATCACACATCCAACTTGTCATTACCATTTTGACTAACCCTCTATCTTGTGTGGCTCCTGAGCCTTTTATTGGATGATATTTATATTAAAATGAACAAAATAATATAGAAACAGCATAAGTTTAAGTTTGCAAAAAACAAAAACAAATGGCAGAATGTTGACATTAAGTCTGTGTTTTTTTTTTTTGTTTTTTTTTATCATTTATGATTCCTATCAGAAAATAGAAATATTTTGAGAAAATGTCAACATTTCCTGCATACCATTTAACTTTATCAAAAAGAAGATACTTAACATTCTCTCAGTTGTTTATTATTAACATTTTCCCATTTGTGGGCCAAGGAGTTAAGTGCAGTCTTGTCTACAAGCTTTAACTTCTCAGCTTAAAAATTAAAAAGATGTTAATAATGATTTATTTCCAAAAGAGATATTAATGATTTATTCTCAAGCCAAAGAAATTACCTTTTTTTTTTCTTTTATATAATTTACTGATTTCATCATCTGCTATTTGTGTGTATTTTTATTTCCAAATCTTCTTCAGAATCTTTAAGGATGTAAATTGCCGTAGCTATAAGAAATATGGTTCTTGGAGAAACATGTATTATCAAAAACCTCATGTGAGGCACAATGGTAAGTATCATCATTCTCATTTTAAGCATTATTCAATCTTTTTGTGTTTATAAAACAAAACAAAAACATACCAAATATTAAATTTGGGAGTCACATTATATATGAGGTTTTTATTTTACAAATTTTGTAGCATCATCATTAAATACCTGAGATGTATCAGTTCATAAAAAAATTAAGTAATGATTTCTTCTATTTCTGTCTATATTTCTGAGATGAGATATTATGTACATTATTTGAACTATTGTCCTCATCTTTATTGCCATATTTATTACAACGTTTCGTCCATTGTACACTCCGGCCTTCTTCAGGTGGTTGGAATGATGAACTGAACCCTTTATTTCACTCACTGGGGTAGACTGTTCTAGTTCCACGTGCCATGTTTAATAGATGTCAGTTATCAGTTATCTCCTGTTAATTTCCCTCTGAAAGTTCTCCACTGCCTTAACTGGGTATTGAACTCGCACTCTTTGGGTCCTGTCACTGGATCTAACACCTTTATCCACTGTGCTATGTGTCCTGCTCAAAGCTCATTATGTAGGTTAAGCATTGTTTTCCTCTGTTCCTCTTACCTTCAGTCTGTCCTGTGAGTATCAGATTTTCCAAGCCCTCTTTCCTCCTTATATACCCCAGATATTTCAACTGTCTCTCCCTGATGTTAAGTATAAGTTTCCTTTTTCTCTAAAACTTTGTTGTTACTCACATGTTCAGTCCATGGTATCCTCAGCATCAGTAGTGTGCAGAAGAGAGGGAAGAGTGTGTGATCGCTCCGTGTATCTACATTGGGAGGGCGTCCAATCAAAGAGTGAAATACAAAAAAAAATAGTTTTTGAAATTAAGTGTTTATTTCATGTTTCATTTGTTTTTGGATTTTTAAAATGTCTTCCTTTTCTCACATTTCTTGGTACTAGGCCCTCTAGGCCCTGCTATTTGAATCTTAGGGGCATAGAATCAAGGAGTTGGTCCCAGGCATCAGCAAACTTCTGCATGCCACTGCTCAGCATCTTTCTGTAGAACCATATTTCTATTGCTTCATCTCTTCTTCATCTGTGAGAAGATTCTCCAGCATTCACTGCCATATAGGACCGATATCATAATATTTCAATACTATTTTTGTTTCTTAATACTCTGCTTTGCTTTTGGAATGCATCTTTGACTATCCCAAACATGAAAAATAAGGTGTTAAACTGAAAATATACACAATATTAGATTGAATGCAGATTTGTATGTATCCAATGGTCATTGGTGCAGAAGGTGGTGTTGCTATGATGAGTTCAAATTCCACCCAAGACTATTGTGTTTGCTTTTGCACAAATTCTCTTGGGAATAGTAAGAAATCATCCCTTCTTCTGCCTAGCTAGGGGGTCAATATTGGGACAGGCTGGGCTCTCTAGCTTTGGTTGGCAACCACTCTGAGAAGAATGTAAGAATCTTAATCCAGGCAATTTCTTTGTTTATCATGGTCACTTAATTGAAGCAAATAGCAGGACAATTTCTTTTTATTAAGTCTAAACCATTAATGTCCACCACATATATACATACAGACACACACGCACACAGATATATATATATATATACAGACACACACATATATATATATATATATATATATATATATATAGACACAGACACACACACAGATATATATATATATAGACACACATGCACATATATGCACACACACACACACACACACATACATATAAGCATAAGAACATTTTACATACATGCATATAGACATGGGTAGCCAGAAGCAAGCTTCTGATCAGGTGATTGGAGGTTTTTGAGGAGTGCAGAACCACTTCTTAATTGCTGTTGTTCCCAGGTCCACCCTGACTCAGGGTGGTAGCACCTGTTAGGGTCCCAGCTATGGGCAAATAGTGAACCTCGAAACAGAAATGAGAAAGGAGTAGGAATGCATTTTTCTAGAGGAAATTCCAGCAATAATTTTTTATAAAAAATTAGCAACAATACTTTTTATCATCTACAAACTATATATCTAAAAAAACATGTTTGCTCTGGAAGTATAAGATTATGTACAAAATATCTGTAACTGAAACCATAAAATTTCATACAAAAATATTTATATTTTTGCATTAAATAAACCCCTAGAGGTTGACATGTTACTAAAATCAACCAACCAACAATCAAATACAGGATGGTGGACATTAATAGGTTATAGGTAGAAACCAATAATTAATACCAGATATTCATTTTAATTTTTATAATTAACTCTGGATTTTACAGTGGCCATTAATGGGTTAATTTAGAGTGAAGCCAATTGACATAAGCATAGGAAAATTGTCTTACTCCACACTTTCTAATGTGCCAGCCTTGAAAATCAGTTTCTTTAAGTGCACTTGAACTCTAACTGTAATTATTTGATCTTCCAAATAGGCATAGCTAGCTTTGGTTTAGAGGTGTAACAGTATTCCTGTATAAAAATGTTGTGGTTAGGAGTTTTTTGGGAACTTTTGAAAACATTTTCATTGTTGTCTCTGTGTCTAATTTGTACAAGATTTGTCATCTATTACTGACAAGATAAGGTTGCTTAGCATCAACCTTGGTACTTGCATCTCTTTTGGAAACTTTAAATGTAGAAAAGAAATTTAAAATTTTAACAAAATTTGTGATCACTACTGAATGTCATAAGCTAGTCTTGTAATTAGAGGAATTTCAAATACTTGCAAAGTCCAGACTGCAACAAAAACGATGAACATTGAAATTCGATATCAGCAAAATATGACAAAAAGAGAATGAGAAAACCAGTTGAATGCTGGTCAAAATGAATAAGTGTAATGCATGATGATGATTATGATAAACAAGATTTTACTTGGTTCAGTTAATCTGGCAAAATCCAGGGATGTTGGGAAAGTTGTTGTGACAAATTTGCACCAAAATTTATTTGTTCTGAATTCTATTGTAATATTTTTCATTTAAATTTTCTTTCTGTTATTCTTCAGGATGCTACATCAGTAAATGTTCTTACATTCGACAGGGTGAGAAAGGGCTTGATCACTTTTACAAGCCTTGGCATTTGGTAGAATATTATCGCTTTGTTCGTTTTTTCCCTAGTGGTGAGTATGACTATATATCAATAAATCTGTAACTTAATGATGAAAAAAGTGTTTATTTTACATAATAAATATTTATTTTTTTTTTACTGTACAGTTTTTTTACTGTATAATGTTTTTGCTATTTCGTTAATTTTTAATGTAATATGCCTAAATTTATTTTATCTTATGTATCAGTAAATCTGTAATTTAATGATGTAAAAATATTTATTTTACTATATATTCTTCTTCCTTATCAATACACTTAATTCAGTAACTGAACATAATACAATGAAACTTTCAGATCAAAATTCATATTATAATATGTGTTGAGCTATGGACTTATTGACACCTCAATAATATATATATTTGTACTTTCCTGAATGTTTCCATTTTTTTTTTTTTTATACTTCCAACTCTCCTCCATGCACAATGTCTATCACAATTATCTTATGATTTTATTGGCTTGGAAGAACTATATCAGTGCTTTTCACTGACAAAATTCATATCTAAGGTTAAAGTTTAAACAAGCTCAAAATATACTTGTATTTATCTAAGGACAAGATCTTCTTTTCCATTTCTCAAGTATTACAATAAATAAGGATTAAGATATTGAGAGAAGACCATCTAAGCAGAGAATTTTTTCTTCTTTGAGCAGTATCATCTTTTGTGAAGCCTGTACTGGGTATGATGATGAACTGCATCCGGCAGCAAGGCCTCTGATTAGGAGATTAGAAGACTGTAGAACTCCCTCTTAACTGTTGTTGTTTCCAGGTCCACACTGACCCAGACTGGCAGCACCTATTGGACAAATAGTAAACACCCAAACAAATCAACAGTAGATTTTTATAATACAACTACCAACAGTACATTTTATCTATAAACTATATATCTAACAAACATACATTTACCCTGAAAGTATAAAATTATATACAAAATCTATATTTGAAGGCATAAAATTGCATACAAAATATTTAGATTTCAGCATTAAATTATAATATAATATAATGTAAAATAAAATAATATAATAATATGATATAATGTAAAATAAAATAATATAATATAATAATAATATGATATAATATAATATATATAATATAAAATAATATAATATATAATAATATAGTAATATAATATAAAAAATTAGATTTCATCATTAAATAACCCATAGGGCTGTTAAGCAAAAACAATCAATTAACTTTTGTGAAGCTATTGAAAATTAAGAATAAAAGTGTCTTTTCATCAAGTGCTTACAAATTCACAACCTGATAAGTTACTACTTAACACTTCCACTGCTATGTACATACTTATAGGCCTTTACAAAACTTATATTGCCTGCTGTTGATGTAAATATACATTTTCAAGACAATGTGAAATACCAGTTCCTAGTGTTTGTGCTATAAACTAACTAGCACTTAGTGCTATTTATAAACTTCAGTAGACCTGGCCTGTACAGCCAAGCAATAATGCTGTGACACTATTTAGCTATGGTAATTGGCTAACTAATTAAGCATGGAAGTTAAAAACTAGAAATACTTAAGGCGAGAAAGAGCTATAACGAAAGACATACCGAGCGACATTATTTTTTTTAACAAAAGGAAAATGGGTAAAGATTTTATTTTCATTTACGAAGAAAGATAATTGATACAGAAAATTCGTAAAAGAAGCGGGTTTCGGATTCTGTCAGAATTAATTAATGTCATGACACGACAAGGAAAACAGAATTCTAAAAGATAAACAAAAACTGGGCCAAGCATGCGACTGGGAAGGAATTTCAGTGAGACCATCCAGAAGGAATAGCCACTAATTATATTTCGGAGATATCATTTGGTTTTGGTTCTTGTGTCCAGTAAGGAGACTCATCGGTTGTATGTCCGGATCTTGACATGAGGAGATAGGGTTGAGAAGAGGAAATCCTTGTTACTACCTGTTCGAACTGTTAACGACAGACTTTCTGTCGCCGAGAACGGGTATCTGAAAATGCGATAATGTTGAGACGAGAAAGACAAAGAGATTTAGTTGACTACCCAGTTAAATAGTTGACTAGCGATAGTTAATGAGTTGGCGAAAATTCCGCTATTGAATTTCAGGTGACCCTAGCATAAGATAAAAATTTAATAGTCGCGATGTGTGGACCATAAGAATTCTGGCCGATAGAAAAGGAAGAAAGAAAATGGAAGATAATTTTTTTTCTTTGGCTGATAATTGTAAACTGAGGCCAGTCTAGCCACACCCACACTGCTAAGCGTTCATTGGCTGAGTGGTGGCGTGAGTGATGGGCGAAGGTGAACATATGAGAAAGAAGGGAAACCTGTTGACGCCCACTGAGGGGATTGGTATGAGATACCAATATGAGAAAGGAAGAGTTTAGGAGGATAATTCCCCTCAGACCGCTCCCCACAGAAGTGGGAGAACCCTTCTAAAACAGAAAGTAATTGACTTCCAAAAATGGGAAGTGATAAATTTTCCTGTCCAAAGACAAAGACAGGCCCTGACCCGGTTTTGGTCGGCGTCCATATAAACGAATGTCCTTGGGCATTCAGAAAGTAGAGTTGGGTTGGAGATCAAAGACAGAGAGCTGTTGAGCTCATAGACCAGCCTTGCAGGAGCTGACCGAAAGATTTCCACGCATTCCGACTTAGATTTCTAATCAAAAGCAATTTTCTTTAATGAAGAACGACTTAGACTTACACCACCAAATAAGTTTTAATGAAATCGCCTGAAGATACCCAAAAGCAGTTTATTGAAAAACAACTTGAGATATCAAGACTCACTTAAGTGACGCAAAGTGTCATGAATCCATAGAAGCAGGTTGGGAGAAAGACGCACTCCTGTATTCAGCAGACAGATATAAAGATACTTGTTATTTTTTCAACACATTTGAACCTCTTGAGTTTATTTCATTATTTTTCTTCTACATACACTTGTGCGGTATCACCTTTGCCCCGGATTCAGCTTGCACTACAGCCCGACGCCTGATTGATTTTGTCTACCTAAGATCAAATCATAACGTGGGTAGGTTAGACTAGAGATCAAAGCAGTTACTTCGGTAACCAGACATTGGAGATGAGCTGGGAACGACAAAGCTGATATCGAATCTATTGACTGCAACCAAGACAACCAGAGGGGTTAGTGTCACACATGGTTCCGTGGTAAACCAGATTTCCATCCGAACCATCCAAGGGTTACATCGTCACAGATGGTGCTGCAATCAGCCTAGGGTTAGAGTGGGCCACAATTTTGGGCAGTGACTGGGACTGACCGGTGGCGCCACAATGCTGTAACAATGCAGCAGTGAACATATTAAATATATGAATTACTTTGTAATCTTCTACAGTTGCACCATGAAATTTCCAAAGGCTCTGCTGATATAAGTATATTACTTTTTTTTTATCAAGTTTGAATAAAAATGTGTATGAATGTTCATCTTTAACAAAGTATGAAAAATTGTATTATTAAAATTTTAAAGATGTAAGTTTGAATGTTTTTACATGCTTAAATTTCTGATGTAAATGTTTGTCCTTCTCATCATGCCTCTTGGAAGCTTTTGTACTTTTTAAAGTTGTGTGATCACTAGTGAATATCATGAGCTATTTTTGGTGGTTACAGGAATTTAAAGTGTAAAGCACAGTCTAAAATACCTTATTAGTTGGACTTAACTGTTGTACCTAAACTGTAACAGTATCTCAAGAAGGGGAGTTAACTCACATTTAATTTTGAGTCTAATAGATTAACTGTAAGTTTCTTTTGCACATGGAACTCTCTTTTGACTTCTTGATTTCCACTCAAGTTTGATCTTCAAAAATTTAAATGCAATTTTGATTGTTATCTTCTGTCTTCTTAATTCCTGTTCCTTCATTATTCTCTCTCTTTAATAATGTTTTTCTTTTTTCTCATATTCTCTTACACAAAGTAACTCTTTGTGCCCCAGTAGCTTTATTGCCTTACTTGGGGTGAAATGATATGGAAAAAAAATGTTTTCTTTTTTTTTTTTTTTTTTTTTTTTTTTGCTTGTCATTTAGAATCAGCTTTATTTTGTGCTTAAATGTAAAAATATATTGAATTTTTTTAATAGTTAAAAAAAATAAAATATATCTGAATTTGTGATATTTCATATGATGTTAACAATTAAGATGTTGAAATCAAATCTAATTCTCCCTAAATTTAATTATCCCATATTGTAACATTTTTCTGTAGAGGCTACTCAGAACTTAAGGTTTCTGTAAAAAAATAATTATAAAAATATATACGTGTAACTCTGATTATAAAGGTTTGTTCAGACAAGAAAATTAATTTGTGGGTTCTTCCAGGCTAAAATGTTTTGTGAAAGGCTGCTCTGTTGCCTAGTTACTGCATGTTGTAATAGTATAAGATTTTACCCATTTGCTACTCATCCCAAAGGATGATAATAGGATTTCTTTAAGGAGTTGCACAGGTCCAGACTTGCACCATCTCCTCCAGGATCTAGTAGCAACATAGGGTTCAAGATCAGTAAATGGCCAGACTAAGGTTTAATGCAAGAAATGTTATTCATTTGCTTCCCAAAAGCATTAGAGTGAATGCAACTGCCTTGGATGGAATTTGAACTTTGCCTGCCAATTCCATTTTCTGCACCTATAACCAGTGGTGGCATCCTACCAGTTCACATGAAGCAATTCTTAAAATTATAAATGCTTAGCGAATTGGTTGTTGGATTATCCAAAAATAATCTTATATATATTAATAGCCAATATATAATAGCTAAAAATATAATTAATACCATTGCTGTAAGTTCTGTGAAGGCTGAAATAGGGTTTTCTGTGATGAACATAATTTATTCTTACAAAAAAAATCTTAAAAATGTGTCAGATCTTCTAGTTATAAATTTGATAGGTCTTCCATTGGATCATTGGACTGCACTGATTCACATTGAATGTGGTTAAGAAACAGCTGATGACTCTCAAGTCAAAAGCATCATACTTCTGAACAGAAAATATGACGAGGAGGACAGAATTTTAATCTGGAAATATCTTAATAAATAAATGTTTTCTATTAAATTATCAAAATGGTTTATTTCTTTTTGATACTATATAAAGTGATTTGTTTCCATTCTCAGATTGAAAAGAAAATAAGCACAATAGATTCCTAAAGATTATTTGCCTTTATAGAACAGGTTCCTGGAAATTTGGGATGCCATTATTGCCTATAAACCTTACACCACCTGTATTTCTTCATGTAATGACTGGCTACTCATTTGCAAGTATAAAATGTCTGTTCGAGTAGCTAGTTAATCCACATTGCAGACAGCTCTGCTAAGTGTACATGAATTGGAGTTTCTGACAGAGCATACAATCTGGGATGATCAGTGGTTAAATAAGACAAGTACACTTTGATCCTTGGTCACAATGTCTTGAAACTTTGTGCTAGCTTTCATCAACATCTTGCCTACTTAGTTCATTAACAATGCTTGGGTCAACCCATGGTGTGGTTTTTCAGGCACTTTCCAACAGTCATGCATACTGGGATCATCTTCCCAGTCTGATATTACCAAGATGTCAACCCCTTGATAAATCAACCATGGTTAGGTTTGAACCAGGTTCTAATGGTCTGAATTCTAACACTGGCCATGCACCCATTCTCATATCTATTGTATTATTAAAAAGATCCATTAACACAAGCTGCTTATTCTATTCTTGTGATGGATGTGTCTGGCTTGGACATTTGCAGTATTGTGCTAAGAGCTTTGAGCTGTGCTGAAAACAAAGAATAACATGGGATTATTATTGTAACATAAAAGTTGTCAAATGGAATTGAATATATAATCCTGTTTCCAGAGTGTTTAGCACCTTGATTTATTCTCCAGGTGAGATTGTGATGATGTCTAGCCCTGAAGAACCCTCTGTATGCATTCCTAAGCTGAACATCAAGTCCAAACATGCTAGCATGCTGACAGGCTTCTACAGATTATCTGGAAATACAGTAAGATTTTTCACTTTTTTTCATTTTGATCAAAATTGATTGGAAAAATAATAACCTATTTTGAGCCAATGACTTTCAACTTGCTGTTGCTAACTCATATTTCTGATTATGGGATCACTTAAATTCCTTTAACCCCCTTCCCTGCCAATTATTTTGTAAAAGACATTTCATTTACAGAAAAATGTTTTTATTTGTTTTTAATATAGCAACTAATAAACTTAGACACCTTGAAGTATCCAAGTGGTGGCTAACATCTCTAGGAGACATGAGTTGACAATTGGACTCATTTCAAGCTCGGAAGGGCATAAAAAGAATTAAGATCAACATATAAAGACGTCTGTAGCTGGTTTTTGAACATTATGTTTTGGACGTATTTGTCAATGTCAGAAAAATAACTTTTGGTAAAAATGTATATACACATCATTGCTGGAGAAGGGCTTTATACATTTTCCCAAAAATTGTAGGGGAAGGGGTTGATTAATTTATATTCGACACTAACAGACACAATATTTTTAATTTTAAATCTCTGCAACTTATTGTTATTTGTTACATTTGTCTTTTTTGTTAACGTTTTAACTTTAGTCTTATTGTCATTTATTATTTCCCTGCTAAATTGGCATCAAATGGCATTAATTTAAAAATAAAAAAGAGGAAACTTATTTTTTTTTTTTTACAGCTGATAATAACTTCAAACTTCAAGAAATGAGTTAAGCTTACCATTCAAATGCAATGGCAAACTGTCTGGTGCATTGTCGTCTACTTCAAAGGAGGATTACTTCCAAATCCTCATTTCCGTGATGTATTTACAATCTGAATTCAGTGAATTATCACAGGGAAATGATTGCGATCTAAGTTAGAAGAATAACCTTCAAAGAAAGTGTATGAAGGTTATGAGGTTGCTATGTACTGGTGGCAAAGGTTTAAAAATAAACAAAATTAACCTATTCAATTTGTCTAATATATATTTGTTCAGCTAACAGATTTAATTATATATATATAAATTTATATATATATATATATATATATATATATATATAATTAAATCTGTTAAATGAACAGATTTAATTATATATATAAATTTGTTTAATGAAAAAAAAAGTTTGTTTTATGGTACCATAAGCTCCATTATGCAAATATCCTCAGTTGGAGTTTTGCTGATTTTTTTAGCCTCAGACATGAAGCATTTAAAGTTGGGCAACCAGCAATAGGGTTTTTGACAGGCATTTGATCCTTTGTTCAAATAAATTAATATCAGCATTTTGTCATTTCTTGATTCTAGTTTACTAATCCTACTAAGGTGTGGTTATAGTCTGAAAGCTGATTCAACATGTCTTAATATTCTAGGAGTATTCAGTTATTGCTTATGTGCTCATTTTCTTGGCAACTGTCATCATGGATAATACTTAAAGCAGCCATTTTGCTTCTGACTGAATTTATACAGCATTTCGAATAAAGTGAATTGTGCACAAACTTTTTTGTCTCATTTACTAACCTAGCATTCTCACTGCATGATCTTTGTCAGTATGATGAGGGATGGGGAAAAGGTACAAGAAAATTTGGTTTCATCAAGGAAGATTAGCAGTACTTTTTTTGTATACAACATATATATATATATATATATATATATGTGTGTGTATATGTGTGTATGTATATGTCTGTGTGTCATTTATTTCTGATACACAAATGTATTTTATACATACTTTATATTTAATGACATATAAGACTGCCTCTTATTTACATTTAATATTACAGTATTATTGAGTTTGATCAGATACAAGTACTGGTACAGAGTTGATATGCCATTAAACAAATCGGTCAATCAACAAGTACTGGTAATGTTATCTGCGAAAATGTTAGCTTAGTATTAGCAAACATCGGATACATCAACTTTGTATATAAGACTAAAAGATAAACTTTTGGGGTCATGGACATAGTTGGATAGAAAATATTTGTTTAAACTTTTTTTTTTGTTTTCAAATAAGAGTAGATAAATTGTGTATTTAAATTAATTTTTGGGGGACAGTAGACATTAATGGGTTATAGGTAGAAATCTATAATTAATACCAGATTATTGTTATTACTACTGCTACTACTATTATAATACCTGTAATTAATACCAGATTTTTTTTTTAAGTTTAATAATAGATATTGAATTTTATGGTGGACATTAATGTGTTCATTTCTAAGTAGCCAACACTATATTCATGTGACATTAAACAAGTTAAATTAATGTATCATATTTAAAATAGAGGAACATGGTCATTATCTGATTTTCATTTTTGACTGTGATTGAAGTCAATGAAGAGCTTGAAATACTTAATAGACTTCAACTGTGAAGAGTTCCTTCATAAATTCAGTCCTCACATGGAAATTAATCCATCAGTTAGAAAAAAAAAATAAAGATATAATAGGTACAATTTGTCTATTTAACAAACTATATATGTGTGGAGATTATATTTTATTTTTATTTTAAAAATTTTTTCTTTTAATTGGTATCACCCTAAGCAAGGCAGTACAGCCATTAACACGCAAGGGGTTACAGGGTGTGAAAGAATTAGGAACAGAAACATTAATAATAAAGAGAAAGAGAAAAGAGCAGTAAAGAGGACAGTAGATAGCAGTTGACATTGTATTTAAATTTTTGTAGATTAAAGTTGGTTGGAAAGCATGGAGCCAGGAAGGAGTTCCACAAGCAAGAAGTGTGAGATAAGAAACTGTTAGCATAGAAGTTATGGTTACATCTGGCTAGCTCAACAGTAAATTGATGAGATCTCACTGCTAGTCTACTATTGTGCTTAAATTCATAAAGTCTAGGTATCATAGCGAAGAGCTCATCTGAAAAATTACCATGAAAGCCTTTATAAAAAAAGGTACAGAGAAGTAATCTTACAACTGAAACTGGGCCACCAGATCAGATATTGCTGACTCTTCTTTGGATCTTATCAAGGAGTTCCAGGAAAATAGCAGGGGCACCAGACCATATATGGCAGCAATATTCCAAGCCTGGATGAATGGTAGACTGATAGATATGCAAGATAGATTCTAGAGAGAAAAATTGTCTCATCTGACACAATGAACCAACTTTCTTAGCAGCTGATCTAATGATGGATTTAATATAGCCTTTCCATCTCATGTCAGCATCAGTCATCCTGATAGAAGGCAGAGAGGGGTCTCTCAGAGGATTAATGAAGAGAAGTTTTGTTTTGGCAGCATTAAAATTGACAAGCCATCTTTTGCCCCAGTTAACGACAGTCTTGAGGTCATTTTGTACACCAGTTGCCATTTTCACCTTGTGACTCTGACTGATCAGCCTTACTATTGAGGCTGGAGTAAATGGTAGTGTTGTCAGTATTGATGCTAAGTTGAGAGCTGGTGTTATCAAGAAAGTCATTAATGAAGATTAAAAACAGTGTAGGATGAAGCCCTGGGGGACACTTGCGTTAGTACAAAAGGATGTAGACGAGAGGCTGTTCAGGACTGTTTTCATTTCATTTGATGTGAATGATTGCGTCAGCTCAAAAAATGTGCCCAGAGATACTGTAGATTTTCAGCTTGTCGAGAAGACCTGAATGCCAGATTCTGTCAAAGGCTTTCAAGATGTCCAATGCTACAGTCTGAGCTTCACCATTTTCATCTACAGCAATTATTTCATCTTTTCTGCAATTATTGCTAGTCCATCAGCAGTTGACCTGGAGAAATGAAAGCTGTATTGCTTGTCTGAGAAAAGGCCCTATGATGAGAGATGATGAAGTTGTTCAGCTTTGATTATGGCTTCTGGAAGTTTCTCAAAAAGAGGCAGAAGTCTAATAGGCTGATAGTTGGATGGGTCAGATGGTTCACCAGAGTTCTTAAAAACTAGAACAACAGACGATGACTTCCAGTAGGAAGGAGACATTGAGGCATTTATTATACAGATTAGAAAGAACAGTAGCTAGTTTGAGAGCACACTCCTCAATGACTATTACAGGGATGTCATTTGGTCCACATGCTTTGTAGGAATCAAGGTTAGATGTATATGCACCAATATGTCCACATATAACTTTCTCTTTTGATCTTGGAATTTTAATTTCATAAAATATTTCCTTCTCAGATCTATTTTGTCTTTTATGCATATGTATTTTTGCAAATTTCTGACAATTGCAATAAAATATGAAGTTGTTAATGATTACTTACAAAACATTTTTTTTTGTCAGATTACTGCAGTTCTGACTCGAGTCAAAAGTGCTGAGAACACCAACCAGTACAATCGTCGTAACAGACGGAATTGTCAGAATGAAAATGAGGAAGCTGAGCAGAAGTTCAATGTGGTTGGTATTTTAGTCATTCAAATGCTATGAATCTTCCACTTTGACACTTAGTCACATTTTTTTCACTCTTTTCTTATTTTTTTTTTTTTTTTACCTTCAGGAGTTCAATTTGGTCACAGCTGGTCGACGTAAATTTGCCAAATTACAGTGGAAACACTATTCTGCAAGAACCTTTTACAGGTAAGTGTTAACTTTCTTTGAAACATTTTAAAATTAAAAAAATTAGCATTATGGAGTTATGCACATCGGAACTAGTACACTTTTATCTTTTCCTTGTATTTAATTAATTTTATATATAAAAAGAAACTTATAATATTAGTAACATCTGATAATAATACAAGACTAAATTTTCTGTGTAAAAAAAAAAAAAAAAAAAATTCTTGATTCCCTTTGGACTCCATTAATATCAATCAAATTGAAAGTATATAACTTTTTTTTTTGTTTTTTAATATTCAGTCTTCTTATAAATGATTCTGCTTCTGCCCTTACAGGTTAGGCATTTATATTACTTACTCTTGTCTGATTGTCTTGTGTGTATACATCTTAAGTTCAGCTGGTTGATTTCTTTGTCTTTCTTTGAGGCCAAATTCTGCATTTATGGTTTTAAGGTCACTTTCAAGCTCAACTCTCAGGGTTCCTACATCTTTTGCCATTCTGAGCTAACAGTGAATACAAAAATTATTTTGCTATCTCTTAGGGTGAACTCATTACACATTGGGGTCACCACAGATCAACTTTTCTTTGGTTAAAGTTTCTGATGGACATTAAATTTGATTCAGACTTTTATTTTCTGGTGTAAATCCCATATGATAAACCCAGCTCTTTGTGGAACTTATATCTTTGGTGAGATTAAATAAATGTCAGTCTGCATTCATTCTAATAATTAGATATATATATTAACCAAGCAAATTGTATCAGTCATGGCAGGGGGGAGGGGTTGAGAAATGGGTATTTTAAAGCAGTATTTTAGTTGCTGACTGAATGTGAACCTGTGTTTGTGTTGGCAATGTTTTGACTGCCTATCCACTTTCTGTACTAATAGATTAAATATTTTCTGGTTGTAGGGAGAAACATTTTAATTAATCACTGAATTTTACAAATTTTGCCACTCAGTTTGTATGTTATTCATTGAAAATGGACGTGTGATTATTTTTTTTTTTTTCGGTCGAGCTAGCTCAAATATTCATGAGTCTATCATGCCAAACATCACGACCCTGCATCAAAGTTGGAAGTTCATTCTATGGCATTCTGTGTCAATGTAGGTGATTGCTGGATGACCAACCTGTCTTGTTCAATGCTCAGAGCAGGGGTAGATCACTTGTGAGTTCCAGTTCTCTTTGCCAGCAGTGTTCTGCAAAGCACATTCTGTGTTTGTGTAAGATTGTAAAAATATCAGGGATGGGTCGATAGAGTTGTGATTTAATTGGATGTTACCTCCAAGAGATGTTAAGTATAGCTCTCAGCATCTAAGTGTAGGTTCCATCAAGTTTAAACTCTAGGGTTTTAGTTAATATCCGAGTATTGGCAGCATCCACTAACACTGTCTCTACAATGATTTGAAAGTATCTCCACTTGAGGTTGTCTGGTAGATCAGTTTTCCAGATTACATCCATTTTATTTAAGGCAAGTTTTACGGGTAGAAGCAGATTATTTATTCTACATACATCTTTAACTCTCATTGCACATGCATGGACAGACACTCATGAGGTTACTCAGTCGGCTATGAAATTCTGTTGAGTGAGCTTGTGTACTGTGTGACCATTGTTGATTCTTCATGTTTTGTAACTGATTTTTTGACAAAACGTTACATAATGCCGGTCTGTCAGCCTCCATATTGTCTAGATTTGGTTCCTGATGATTTCTGGCTTTTCCCAAAACTAAAATCATCATGGAAACACCGGATGAGATTAAGGAGACAAGGCAGCTGATGGCAATCCTGAAAGGAGAAGGGATGCTGGTGTAAATGTGTGAGGCCTCATGGGGCATACTTAGAAGTGGGCTGAGGTGTCAATGCCATTTTAGCCTTTTTTTTTTTTTTTGTCAATGGCTGGTTACTTTCCAGACAGACTTCATACAATGCTACTAGTGGGTGGGACATCTGGGGGAAACAAGTAGTCACGGGAGTCACTAATTTAATATTGGCTGTGATTTGTTAAATCTGGAAATATATAAACATTAAAATAAAAATTTGAAAAGTTAAATTTTAAGAAATATTTTATAGTAAAGTTCACCCAATACAAGGCTCGAGAGCCACCCAAAGTAAAAATTACTGTTAAAATGGTCATAAGAGAGGTGCCATATGAGATAAAGAGGCTGTAGGAAATGAAGATTCTGATGATAATGAGGATAGGTAATAATTGAACCTTAACTTGAAAGATTAAAATTGTAGTGTTGTGGATAGCATAATTGAACCTTGACTTGAAAGATTAAAATTATAGTGTTGTGGATAGCATAATTGAACCTTGACTTGAAAGATTAAAATTATAGTGTTGTGGATAGCATTCAAGTAAGAGTCTATTCCACAAAGTATTAATTCTTGTAGTGTGGGGGAAGCTGTTTGAGTGGAATTTTCTCTTTATATTTGAAATCTGGGAGAAACAAGGGTGATTCGATTTTGTGGCAGTAGCATGATGTCTTTGCAGTAAAGGTCTGAACTGGTGGAGCTCAAGTATGGAGCTCATCTGAACATTTAATAACCTAATAGTTCAACTAAGCAGCAATAATAATACTAATAACAATAATGTTTATTTTTCAGGTCCAGCAATGGTGAAACTGTGGTTGAGTTTGAGCTGAGTGAGCAGAATTATCCGCCATTATATTTCTCCCGTGTAAAAAGCTTCACTTGTTGTTCACATATGCCTCTTGAGTAAATGTGCACAGTTTTTTTGATTTTTTTTTTTTTTTTTTTTTTGTTTTTGTTTTTTTTGTTTGTTTCCCTGAGCTCCAAAAAGGTGTAGGCAGCAGTGACATAAGAGAAATGACTCAAAGGAAAGAGAGGTGAGGAAAAAGAACTGAGGGGGTGTATTTGAAGTAACCATTCTTTAGATCCCCTTCTAGAAATGGAAACTCTCTCCTTTGTTTCTTGGAAAGTGAGCGCAATTAAAATATTGCAGTAGTCTCTTTCTTTTCTATTTGCTTAAGCTGTTTTTTTTTTTCTTTTTTTTGTCTTAAAGTATTTTCTGTGTGTATGTGTAAATTTACTAACAATGTACCACTCAAAAGGTTGAGTTGACGTTACTTGGTATAAATTCTTAAAGGATTTTTATTTTTTGCCTCTGAGCCAAAGTTTTACTCAACAAAAATCCAACATGCGAAATAAAGTGCAAAAGGAATGTTACTATTGGAATAAGAAATACATAAGTTGACGAGAGAGAGAAAGAGAGATGTAATGGACTTTCGTAGAAGACAATATAGCCAAGATCGTAAAATTGCGCCATTGCAACTAATGTTTTATCATTATGTGGACCCTGTATTTCAAGTAAAAACAAAGTAGTATATAAAAAGCAAACTGCCTCTGCCATTGAACATAAACCCAAATATATTTTTACTGTTACTCGTACTCCTTTTGGTTACATTTCTTTCTTCTGTAGCTTCTGGCTGGTAGTTAATGACAGGTACAATAATTTGGTACTGACAACCTTTGCCGATATATTGTTACAATAATTCCTTTTACAGTACCAGTGGTGGTGGTACTACTACTATTGATGATGATAGTCATTTGAATAGATAATCTTATTATGGAATCAGGCGTGCAAAAGTGAGCATCTGAGATAAAATTACAGTAGTGAGCATTGGGTATAAAATTAGCCTACAGATGGATTTCATATGTAAGACATAAGACGATATATTTTTCTTTTCTTTTTTATAGACAATGTAAAAAAAAAAAAATGTCTTATATGACATCAAATATGACATCATATATATATATATATATATATATATATATATATATATATATATATATATATATATATATATGAACAAAATTTATTAAATTCATTCAGCAAGGTACGTGTTTGATCTGTTTAAGTTTTATTGTATTTTTGTAAATTCCAAATAAGTTGAAATTTTTTTTCTTTGCATGCTTTTCACTGTTTCGGTCATTATTAAGAACTAAATGTTAGTACCTTAGGCAACTGATAATGGCCAAAATGATTGAAACTAACTGAACAGGAGCAAAAGATGAACATAAGATAGTTTATCCACAACTTTGCTCCAGATGTGCAACAACTTATTTGGAAATTGGAAAGATACTGTTAATAATTAAACTCAACAACATTGTTAATTAAATTTAATAAAGTTTGTTTGATGGAATTTTTGCTGCCTGAATAATATATATATTTCACTTTACACTTGCTTTTTTTTTTTTTTCAATTTATTGATATGGCTGTGCAAGAAGTGTTAGGGACCAGAAAAGAACTTTCTCATTGAAATTTTAATTTAGGAAGACACAAGTTGTTTTACGTATGGTAAGTTATCTGTGGAAAGCTTCAAAAGATAATTTTATGTTTCTAAATCAAAATAATAACTAAAATACGGAGGAAATTCAACCAAGACCATGCTTGTTGGTGGTTAGTGTTTAACAACTGAAAAATGTGATCAATGTTTTTATATTTGTTTCTATGCTTATGTACTTAACTTTTGCCACTTATTTATAAAAAATAATGTAGATGATGCAAAAGAAAAATATAATAGAACAAAGAATACAGTAACTGGCCAGACAATTTATTTTTGCTTTTATCATTTATCACTTGTTTCTTTATATTATTTTTCATTTGTGCTTTGTAATTCTATTGACCATCCAACTGTATCCTATAGTTTATTTAACACTGTTTTTTTAAATTTTTTTTATTACTTATATATATATATAAAAATAGGTAGGGAAACTTTTATCCATTCCTAATATTGAGAGGATTATGTGAATAAACATTAAAATATTAATGGAAAATTCCTTAAATTTTGTAAATAAGCAATTGATTTGTTTACAAGCAAGGTTTTATGTAATTTCCCTCATGCCAAATCTCTATGGTAATCATTTGAAATGCCTTTTGGTCTTCATTCACAATCTGTGCAGTAAAAAAAACACTTCTTATGGTTGCTGCAGGCAATAAAAAGCAGAAATAATTAGAGAAAGCAAATCACTATTTAATACAACATTTCTGACAAAATCAAAGGGTTTTTTCCCCACTTTATATATTATTTTCTCTCATAAATGCTTTCTTATTACTCAGTGTTACAGGGACGTTTTTTTTTTTTTCTCTGAAAATAACAGCCAGAAGACCACTTTATAATAAATACTATCTCTGTCCCATAACAGTTCTATATTTGAATACACATTTTATACACTAAATGTCATAACTATTATGGGACAGAAGAAGCACACTCGATGTAAATTATACTGTAAGACTTGAACACATTCCTTTGTGACAAGGGCAACTGTATTTTATCCACAAAGCTTGAGTTTCTATATAAATAAGAGCATTTTTTTAATAAAATTTCTGTGTGTAATCTTTTACCAGAATGCGAAACCATATTTAAGATATAAAATGTCCTTTTTCTTTTCTTTTTTTTTTTTTTTTCTTAAATACTCTAACAGCTTCAACTGAGCAGGAAGAATATATATTAGCTTGAAAAAAATCCATTAATCTAAGATGTTAAAAAAAATAAAATCAAGATTTTGTTGTGGGGGTGTATAGTGAAGTTTTTAAATAATTGATCTTAATAATTATGAAAATTGGACAAAAAAATGAATTTGTCAAGAATGCATTTCTGAAATGCACTTTTTTTATTTTAACTAAATCTGATGCAATGCTTTTAAATATTTCAAGCTGATAATAAATTATAAATTCCTTATACTTTGAATCTTTCTTAAAATAAAGTGAACAAAGTAAATCCTTATAAATTGATGTATTGACAACTTTTATGAGTGATGTAAGTCGATTCAAAGATGTTAAAGAAAAGATGTTAAAACTATATTACTCAAGTTGTGTTGGTGCTATTTAAAAGCTGAAAACTTCATGTGATATGATGATCTTCATTCAGAAGAACTGTAAAAATTTCTTGCCTTGCTAGGAAAATTTAAGCGGCTTTTTATTCATAAAGTGACATCTTTTTCGATTACACAATTTACATTATTTACAATCAGACTAGTGTCCTCATCTTTGTTGTTACTATCGTGATATTTTGGTTGTTGTGCCATCTGGCCTTTTTGGTTAACCTTCAAGGAATTTTTAATTAAATCTTTTATTTAGCACACGATTGTTCTTGTATGACTAGGAATATACAGTTTTGTTCTTTTTTTTTTTTAGTACTGCTCAGTTATTGCTCATCCTATTTCCACTGAGAATGCCCTATACCACCAAATTCACAAACTTTGGCATAGTAATTGTGAGTTCAATCCAATTAATTCTGATTTGGTAGATACAAGACACAGTAACTGAACAGTACTAAAAATAAAAGGAAAAAATACAAGAGAAGATATCCTTCGATATGGACAGTGGAATTAGAACAATCTACCCCCATATATTAAATAAAGGGTTCACTTTAAAATTCCCTGATGATTACCCAGATCAGCAGACATTTGAAGATGTCTGGAGAGCAATATGGTTAAAATGTTGTGATAATGACAAAGATGAGCATATTAGTCTGTCTATAAAGGATCACTCTTCTTCATCCTGGAAATTCAGATAGAAATGTTTCATAATGTATTCAGCAGGACATTCCAAATGTACAGGTAAAGAATAAGAATCAAGTAACGAGTAACTTTTATTTCATGAAGGCTTTTTTTATATATATATAGAGGTGCAAGCATCGTAATCTCATATTTGAAAAACTTCTGATGCTGCTTTTAAGAGTTTGGTTCCCAGGACCTTTTCAACCTTGGAAGTACTGTTTGGAAGAATCCTTCGGAGATAAATTATGATTATTTAGATTACATTGTCCTTACCCCTAGATTTGAAGGTTCGTTTGTCTCCTTATTTTTATATCATTTATTTTAAACCTCTCTTCTGGTTACATGATAAATTCTTTACATATATAACACAGTTGACCTTTGAAAGATCACTAAGATTCTTCTGAGAAATGTTTAACCCTTTCCAGTCTATATTTGTCTAAATTCTACCAGTTTAAAGGCAATTCATATTTAAATTCAGTTGTGTAAACTCTTTACAAAGTTATTTCCTTTATTTTTGTTCAAGTAGGATTATCCTCAGGTTCCATTGTAGAGGCATTTTTACTCCTGAGTATCCAGTTTTGTTTATTACCATGGAAACTGAATATGAAAAATGTAAAATATATTGTAAATAAATGCACTTTGCCTATTGCCAGTGCTTTCAAGTTCTGAGTCTTCATTGGAACTAAATTCTTCTATTCCCCTCCCCTCCCATTTTAAATTCTTCATTAGAGTCAAGAATCGCCTGAAAAGTCTCCTGGGCATTCTAAAGGTCAAATGTGATTGTCATGCTATCAAAATTCAATCGTCTCTCAATGAAAAAATTACTAATTTCGAAGCATGTCACTACTACATGAAAGCCACTATATTGCTCAGGTGGATTCAATAGCAAATACACTTCTATAGCAAATCTGTTTTTTAGATTTGAATGTAAACAAATGTATATGCTTAGCTGATCAGATCTATCTGGTCTCTCTGCAAAGGTTTAACTCTTTATCACAGTGTCTGATAGTACTACTTTCCCTGCTTTGGGGACTAAATTGAAGCATTTTATAACCGCAATCTGTCACTTCTTGCGGCTACTTTTTAGCTTATCTATGCCAGAAACTGATCAAGAGATGATTGCTGATCTCTTTGATCAGCATATATATGCAAATGATATGTGAGGAAAGAAAAAAAACTCTTTTTGTTAAATGTCAA